GGGGGGGGGGGGGTGTGGGGGGGGGTGTGACGCAAAGGGGGAAGGGAGGAAACGGAGGGTATCGACAATAGCTACAAGCGAGAGGCGACGATGATGCGTCAAAAGGGAAACCAGCGTATGAGCTCAATTTCACGGCGCCGGCAGTTTGAGGGTGGAGGGGGGGTTAGACAGGAAAGTCTCGACAGACAGCTGTCCCTCAACAATCTTGTACACAGTCGTACAAACATGCCTCATCGGACCCGCGTGCAAAACCACGGGGTATCTCGTCCTGATTGGCCGCCTCGTGTCCATCACGGCCACGTCACCCGCCGCCACCGCGAGCCTCAGGATACCCAGCCCCGCCGTGATGCACATGGCCGGATTGACCAGCCGCATGCAGGCGAACGGCACGCGGTCCCGTGGGTCCTGTGGGCAGGCGCGACAACAGTACCGTCACGGGGAAGGGGGGGGCGGGGGGGTTGCAACGAACATGTCAAGAACTAACATCATACTCATGTTTACTCAGCTAATGGTGTGTGTGGATTTCAGCAACGACAAGACGATTCAAAATACTACCCTTATTTTGCACCCAAATCCAACCCTCCGTTCACACTGGGGCCATTACGCCAAAGCACTGAATAGTTTCGCCCTTTCGACCCGAGACCGGCTACCGTGAACGCCCCAAACTTTGGCCCCAACCGTGGCGCATTCGCACCTCCCAGTAGTCTTCCATCATCGCTTCGGACCCTGGCGGGTTTTGCGGAGTCTGGGCCATCCACATGCTTGCAGGCCTCTCCGGGAAATATCTGTCCCAAGAGCAAGAAAGGAATATATATAAACAGACGTGTCTTGCGCTCGATCAGGTACTACAAAGAGCGGGTTCCAACGCCCTGAGAGAGAAGCGCGGATGCCGCTTTTTTTTTACGGATGCATAAAAATCGCTGTGAGGAATAACCAACATAGTAAAAGGGGGAGAAGGGGCGGTGCGAGCCAAAGGCTGCGATTGCAAGAATATTTTTGTGTTCCCCTGATTGCTGCCGCTGTATGTGAGGCAAGGTCCGGATATTCCTCACGCCAAATAGCCAGCCGACACGTGGGTTCGCGGGTGCGAAGGAGCCGTTGTGCCTTACGTTGCACAAGATACCATACCCCCAAGGTCGATTTTCAGAGCTCGACGTGTACTCCCAAGCAAAATCAGTGACGGCGCCGAAAATGGGTGGCGTCGGAACTGTCTGTCTCGCCGAGAGCTTGCAGAAAGCGCATAATTTGGATGCAGCATCCTCTCCGTCGCGGATGTACCGCAAGAAGAGTCGGAGAGGTGGCACCTCCCCCTAAACCGACGTTAAAACGCCGATTGCCCCACAGCCCAGCCGGGGCGGGGAAAGGGTCCGATGCGTCCACGGAAAGCCCTCGACCCTCGACGAGATGTTTCCTAGACCACCTTGAACTGTGTTGACACAAGCTTGGCTGTGGAGCAAGCAAGCCTTGAAAATAGGTCTAGGGGGAGTGCAATGTCTCCTCTTGCGGTAATCAGGGCTCGAACGTCGGTCGAGGGGGTGCGGTATCTTCTTGCATTCTTGCAACCTACGATACAACCTAGTCGCACCTCGTGTCCATCGAAAGAGATGCCTCGAGCAGCGGGATGCTGATGGAAAAGTTCCACTTTTCCGGGCGGGTCAAGACCCTCTGCACCATGGCAGGGGTACCGTACGGGGGCCAGTCTTCCGCCACGGGCGCCGCGGGGCCCCCCGGAGACTCTCCGGGCCCTGGCGGACCGTAGAAGCAGTCCAACTCGCAGTAGTTGTCTGCGACACGTCATTCGCGCCACCATGATTAGGCAAGAGATACGAACAGGACGAAGACACAGGCACCGAACGGGAGCGTCGGTTGTCTATCGAACACTGTGGGGGAGAGATATTGAGTGGGCAAAGAAAAATGCTCTCACGTACACGTCCGGCTACCGGCATCGTGTGCAGGCTTGGTTGTGTAAGTATGCGGCCGTTCCACCGATGTGCGGGGCTTTCTTACTACCCACGACCACGGGTGCAAAAGGGTCATTGAATCAGCGAAAACATGGTCGTTCCAGGAGATTCGAGGTCGCACAGGGCATACACCACACCTCCGGAATCTGCGAAAAAGGCACATCTCCTTGTATACTATCTTGGCTAGGGACGAGCATGTATACTATCTTGGCCTACACACGGGGTGCGGCCAAGCCAGCTCGGGACCTCACGAGTGCCAGGCGAGCACCCATCCAGACAAAACAAGGGGACTTCGCACTACCCGTCCTCTTGTACTGCATACCCCACTATCAGATATACGCCTCCAACGTACGTCGAGACGACCCCGTCTCCCGCGGCCTCTCCGCCCTTACCGAAGTAGACACTCAGCAGCAGGTAGTACTCCGCCATCGTCGGGCAGATGTACAGCCCCCCGGGCTTCCTCCCCTCGCCGCGCGCCCTGTCCTCTTCCTCCACGCCGTACTCCGGCATGGTCAGCAGAATCCGAGAGTGCCCGAGCTCCTTGCCGGTGTCCACCAGCAGCATGAGGTCGAACGGCTGCTGGGTAATCTCTCGCCAACGTAGCAGCTGCTGCTGGCCCTCCCCTGTCTCAGGGCAGTACAACTCCTCGCGATCACCACCGTGGCCCGACGCGCCCAACTCCGTGCTAGAGCCACGGTTAAGTCTAGGCCCCTGTCGGGGAGGACCTCTCGCGCTCCTGTCGTACCCGCCGCCGTCGCGCGGTCGCCATCCCTTTTCACCGTGGACCGGCAACCCGCCACCCCTGCCACCGCTAGTGTTGAGATTCGCGTACGAGCTTCCAGCCCTAGGCCCGGTGTTCCTCCCGCTACGGGAGCGGCGAACCTCGTCGTCTCGCCGAGAGCCCGGGCTGTTCACGCCACCGCTTCCACCCGAGCGTTCGCGCGTCATCGTCGTGTGCTTCCGCCGGTAGACGCGGGCCCCGTTGACCATGTGCCAATCCCGCGGGAGCACCTCGGCGTCCTGGCTTTGTGCCCCCTCGTCGAGGAGCTCGTCCTCGACGGCCTCCCCAGCAGCGGCAGCCGCCGCCGCCGCTGCGGTGGTGGGGGTATCGAGACGCGGGGCAAGAGCTACCAGCAGCTGTGCCCCCTTCAGGTGAAGGGCGATGCGCAGCACGGACGCGTTGCGCTCTCTCTCTGTGGCGGAGGCTGTTGCCGTTGCCGTAGCGGACGATCCTCCAGAGCCGACGCCATCGGCGAACCCGCTGGCAGCGCTCTCTGTGTCGGCGGCGGCGGCGGCGGCGGCGGCGCGAGCGCCGGTGTGTTCCGCGTGTGCCCGGTTCGGTCTCTGCTGAATCACGGATACACCGCGAATCGGGGGTCGAGGAACAGAGGGGACAAAAAAAAAAAAAATCGCGGGACATGGTCATGATGAGGGAAAGTACGGTGTCCTGCACCTAGCAGGAGGGGCGAGTAAAGCGGTAATGAAGACAGGCAAGCCGAAACGGTGATGAAGAGACGACACACCGTCCCGGGGGCAGCACCATGGAATGTGAACATGAGTGCCACGCACTTAAACTTTTCTGGCAATCGCGTAAGGACTTACTCCACGTACAACAATCAAATACGAAGAAACTAGCCGGAAAGTTTCGCGCATCCATACAATAGCTGCTGGTGCCTTTGTCTGCAATGAGCTAGACAAAAGTAGAGAACCGTCGAAATTTTGGCGGTACTACGGCCGAGACTTGCGCCTACGTCACGAGTCGTTTGGGGAAACCATTTTCACACGTGCGGGAATACGGCAACTTCAGCAACAACAGCGGGCTACCACCATACACCCAAGACGGGCACAGTACTCAAAAACCGTCCACCCGATACACAAGAAACAGCCAGTAGCATCACCCATGACACCAAGCTTCCCCCGCTCATCGTAAATGCTTCAACCCATCGCTTCATGTACTGCGGTAACACCTCGAACGGGGAATCTTTGCTACGACTGCATGCATACTGATGTACTTCCTGAAAAGGCGGGTGACCCTCACCTCCGCACTCGCGTAGTCCTCGTCGTCGTCTACCGCCCACGCTCGAGGGATGTGAGTCCGCACGTCTTCGGCCAACAGCTGGCCACCCAACGGAGGAGAAGCCGCGCCAGACGTATCCAACCCTTGTTGGAAGCACAGGGGGGACGGGTAACGGTGTTCCTCGGCGGGGACAGAATCCGTCGCGATGGCTGCTAGACATCGCAAAACCACCCGGCAGGCGAAAAGAGGAGTAGCAAGAAGCGGCGGGAGCGAGGGGTGGCTGGCGGGTGGGTAGGGAAAAGGGCAAGTGGTGGAGCTGTTTCGGATACTATCGCGCCACGACAATCTCTCCACTATCGCGCAAGCTAGGTTGTAGACTCGATCGTACAACAGAGACGCCAGGCAGAAGCGTCGTTGACAATCTGCGACTGGGTTCTCACAAGTACTGCAGCAAAAACAAGAAACCAGATGCTTCCCGCCAGGAACAATCTTGACTTGCAGTGCCAGTTGCGCATGAGCGAACATTGCTCAAAGCGTTGTCGGTAATCGACTTCTGGTCATGCAGACAGCAGGGGTGATCCATCACAGCAGCATACAAGTCAGCCGTACAATGGCGGGATAGCACATTCGTCCAATTGGACGACCAATACATGCCGCACACACACACCTTCGTCGACCTCAGCCACGGCGTCGAAAAACTCGTCCAAGTCAGAGTCGGTGCCCGATGTCGACCCCGACCCCTCCCCTGTCGCCGCATCGTCCACATCCGGTAGGTACAAGTCGAACCCGTCATTTTCCCCGGAAACGTCCCCGACGGAACGGAACGAGCGCGCGCTCACAAAGCTCAGGATCGATCGCCGCGCGGACGCGACGCTCCCGCGGTGCCCCGTCCCGTCTAGCGACTCCTCCACCTGGCCGGGGAGGTCCCCCGACAGACGCCGCCTCGGGGGCTCGGCGGATGCCGCCGCCAACGTCCCCGTGCCGAGCCCTTGCGGTGGCAGCAGCCGAGAAGGCAGCAGCGACGGCGACACGCGCGGGATGAAGATGGGCGGCGGAGGGCGCACACTCAGCTTCCCTCTTCCGAGACCAGGTGGCAGCGGTGCGTCGGCGGCAGAGGCGTCGCCCTCGCCGCCATTAGCGCCGCCGCCGCTGTGGGGCGACGATGACGCCGCGGCGGGGGGATTAGGCCCCGGAGATCGGTGGCCGCGCCGAGTCTCTCGCTCCAGCCGTCTTGACGCCACGTTGGTCGTGTCGACGGGGAGCCTCCACGTGCCGCGCTTTTTCCGCACCTGGTGCGACCGGGGGCGGGGGGGCGGGGGGTGTACTCGTAGTCGTGCATGCCGCAGTCGTTAGACCATTGACCTCGCATCCCTACAAAGCCGGG